AAGAAGGTCCTGTCACGTAGATAACTTAAGCAATTCATACAATAGGAAATTCAAACAATTTCCATATTATTTACACACTTGAGAATACTAGGGAATATCCTCAAGTTCGTCCATTGATCCAAGTCCTAAGAGTATAACTCACGAACTTTAATTCTCTTAAAGCCATAGCTACCTCCTTCCATACCTTCATCCTAACGGTACGTCATTCCAGCTCAGCATAGCCTTTCAATACTCTCTTGCCCAAGTTTGCGCAAAGGAACGAGATCGTTGGTGCCGTTATTTGAAGCTCGGTAGAGTTGTGGTCCCTTACGGGCATTGAGGAACGGTTGGAAGTTCGTTTTCACCAAGCGCCTCGGCGGCTTTCTGCTTGACTTCTAGTTCGCGTATCGAAGTATTTCTTTCCTTTTGACCTTGTTCGCGGATTACCGCCAGCTGGTCTCTTGTGCGTTCCACCGTCTTGCTACCAACCCGCGTCGGTCTTGCCATGCAGTTGGGCTCGACAGCAGAGTGTGGCCCATGGCAGTTTATGCATCTCGGGAAAGCCTGTTTGCAATCGGTGGGCTTGTGCTCGATAGAGCCGCATCGTGAGCAGCGTTCCGCTCGGGAGCCAATCATTGTAGGGTGGTGTTCCCAAAATCGGTTGCATTAAGCAATTTCTGGCTTACGCTGGAGTTCGTGCAGCCGACCGCTTTCTTCGAATAGTCTTTCACCAAGCTTTGGTTTTCCTGTTGCATAGTACAGCACTCAGTCTGTTGATGGCCTCGCCATGCTAGTCGCAAAAGCGCAAGCAGATGTTGGTCTGACGCCGTTTTTGAGGGTGGCTTCTTCGATTACCATTTCGGTCGTGACTGGCACTGGTCCTTCAAGAGTTTGTAGCCTGTCTGGAATATTGGGTGCGGGCACTGAGATCCAGTTGGAAGCGGCTTCCAACTTCATTTCGGAGCTATCTAGGGTATTAGCTCCTGTCAGGGGCGTGCTTCTTGCTCCTTCACCGTCAGCTTGTATAGCAAATCCTGAGTTAACGACGGTGACTTGTCTGATCGACGAGTTAGCCGGGCGTAGTTAACTAGCGAGGCTTATTTTTTTTAAAGTGTGGACACATGCATCTCTACGGGTGATCGGGTCTAAGCCGTAAGAATACGCGCTCATCAGCTTTTTCTGACATCACTGCTGCTGCCTTGGGCTTCGGTGTGGGCGTGTGACCGGTGGTTGTTCTTGTGTTAGCTGAGTTTGCTGGCTTGGTCTTTTTACGTACAACCTCTGTCCAGGATCTCTCGGGAGTCTGGTTGGTGGTTTGGTCTGTCCCATAGGTAGGGATTGGTGTAGCAGATGCAGTCGGTGGTGTGGCTGCTCCTGGTCTCGTGTTTTTTCTGGCGAGGATCTGTACAGGACGTATGCTGCTCGCAATTGTTTTCTTCCTCGACTCTTTAGTTGTCACGGGGCGAGGTTTGATGGTGTGTCTACTAGCAGCTTGAGCTGGTGCTGTGGCTTGGGGGGTGGCTGAATTGCCCCGCAGAATTTCTGTAATTCGGTTTTGAAGGGCCAAACCGGAGAGTTAGATGGCTTGCCGGAACTCTTCGTCTGTTGTCGATTCGAGCAGGTTTCAGTGCCCGCTGACGATGCGCTCTGCTTCCGCAAAACGTTCCTGGAAAGCCCTCGCTTGTTCGGCGAGAAAGTTGGTCATGTTGACGGCCGTGTGGTTTGGACTCGGGTTTGTAGAGTGCTGTTGACTCGCGCAGCAGACTGTGTCTGGTGTCTTGTTGGGTGCTGAAGGTGGTAATGTGTTATGTGGTACGTTGAGGTCCATTTCGACGTCCTGGCGCGTCGAGTCTTGGGTTGGGAGAGTTAGCCATGATCCAGCCCCAGCGGAGGACTGGGGGGGCATGGCTGATCGTAGTAGTTAATTCAGAGGTACTTTGGTACGGAGAATGTGGGATAAAGATGAATATATCTCTTAAGAATGATAGTTGGATGCATAAAGTAAGGATATTAAACTTGATAAAGGTTATTTTGGTGTTGTGCAACTGCACTAAGCGTACGTTAGACATCAATATGCTCTAGGCAAATTGTTAAGGGTAAACTGAGCACGTGATATGATCTTATCGTTTTGTTTTTTTCTTTAACGTGCTAGGTGAAGTAACTACCGTTGCACTCCTATTGGAGCTTAAGCACGTGTGGAGTCGGGCCGGATCAGGTTAACTATCGTGAAGTACAGATAAACCTCGTCCCACTTGAATGACCGGGCCACCTCAGACTTCACCTATGTGTTGAATCATACCAAGTCTAACCGTCCAGAAACCCGCTGTATACACGCCGTAGCGCAATTTCTTCCTCAGCCTCGGCCACCTCGCGACCGAGCCCTTGACATCCTCATTGATTCCGAAATATAAATGCCGTCCAAGATCTCATCGTTGCTCTAGCCTTGCACCTTCATATCGTACCGTTGGGTTGTTTTCGTCATTGGGGATTTGTGTAATCCCCTCGGTGTATCTTCCCTTTTCTTCATCCCTTGTACACGTCCCGTTTCCATCATGACTTTCCTCATTAGGGCGTGTGTAGGTAGGTGATTGGACGAGTATGGAAGTGGGTCGCAGGTATAGGATCGACTGAGATTTGCTTCGTCGCAAATATAAAAGGAGCATGAGAGATGTCGGATGTTTGAATACGACTCCCAGACAGACCTAAATCCATTCGTGAATCGTATGTTAGTGGTGATGAGTTTTTGTTCAACTTTGTTCCGGCTGTGAAATCTCTGCCGACTGATTTTTCGACCAAAATATCGAGTGCAACTCCTTCAAGTCCAAAATCCATCAAATAAAATTCATCCCATCCATTTTCGCGACTGGATCTCGGCTCTGGGAGAATATTTCACTCCCAGGTTCGTAGAGGACACCACTGACAGGTGTTCAGCCTTCGTCCTCCTATGATCTTATTGTATATAGTGCTGAGTTTTTTTCTCTGTTAAGCAACAAGGTATCTTTTTGTAGTTACCTGAAATATAGTTCCGCCTTTCTTCTGACCCAATTGATCATATCGACTAAATGCGTTACCATTTGTTATGACTTAACTCTTAATTATTTCCTCACGGATATAGGTAGCGTCGTAAATATGTCGTAGGAGATGGTCGGTTATTTGTGAGGCAAGATCCCGCATGAGATTGGAGTAGCTGCTTAATCGGTCGCTGAGGTGTATTGGTTTGTGGTAAGATTGAGATTGAAGATTTCTGAGAAAATAATAGGATCTATTAAGGAAATAATGATCCCTCAGTCATTGAGGTTGTAGAGCGAATTGGTCCAAATAATTACCGAAGTCAAACTAAGTATAGAATTTGTAGTCACTTGTGTACCAACAGCGTGGCCTACTTGATAGCCCCAATTATTTTAAGTTCTAACAGGATCAATATTTAAATTTGAATTTGAAATCTATTACGTGACAGGAAGAACCCAGCATCTATTTGGACGTGACACGGGTAGATGAACTCTGAGAGCTTCTTGCTACCTACATGACCGGCAATAGGAGTGCAGCTGACACTATAAACACAAGCAAATGATGGAATGTGCCGTGGTCCGCCTCCTGGTGATGTTCTCCGATATGATTTGAGTAGCCTGGACACCTATTCCACTTGGGAAGGAGACATCTCAGATCATATTGTGCGCGGAGAAAAGTTGAAAGATGACGGAGGCATATCTGGATAACTCAAGGATTTTGAGACGCTCCCCTGAGTGGGTATTCTAGGATGAGGGTTGACTTGAGGTGAAGAAAAAGTCGCCATAACTTCGCAGTGGTTCTTGCAAATGAAATCCGAGGCATGAGTGCTCTTCCTTTACGTTGAATCATCTATTCTGTACTTTTTGATATTGTGTCATAGCTAGATAGCTGCTTACGCAATTAAAATCTGATGCAAAAAAAAAGACCGGCAATAGAGCCAGAAGCAACCAAGATAAAAGAAGTAAAAAAATACAGTAAATGTCTAAGTTGCGGTGCCCTGCGCCACATCTCTATCTTCCTAACACAGCTCCTCTTGAGTCAGAAACAACCTCAGCATGGTCACCTCCCTCCCTGTCCATTCTTCGGCAGACAGTAACATCTGATTGTAGTTAGGAATTGGATAAACTTCTGCCATCCCTTCCCTATCATCTCCCTGGCCTCAGGTGGTGCCATTTTCTCACAGCTTCTCCAACGTTTCAAGTAGGGATAGGACAAATATTTGATTTGATTTGAATGCTAATCGTATCAGGTATATGCCCTATACCCATGAGGCGTGATACAGGTATGTGATCTCGACAGCCTCACTACTACCTACCTGCATAGCTTTATCTGCCATAAGAACTATAAAAAAAAAGATAAGGAAAATCAATACAATGTCTTAACATAAGCGCACTGCGCCATGTCGTATTTTCCCACAAATTTAATTTGCATAAGACCGATACCCTTGTGGGAGCCTATGCAACCTAGTCTAAGATCCTACCACTTCAACATTTCGTCACAGTGATGAACTCGATGAATTTCTCCCATCTCGAAGCCCCCAACATCTCGCTAACCTTTGGGGTGTAGAAGAAATCCGATTATCATGGCTGTTTTCGCCCTAACGTCATGGAAATTCACGTGATATATATTCAGAGCACTGTCCAATGTTTGCTAGGCCAAATCATATGAAACATGTTGGTGCGTCCATCCCTAATTAATTTAGCAGGTAGCAGGGCCCTGAGCCACGGCTCGACTCCCACTGAACGTAAATAATAAACAAACATAATAAATAATAAACTAAGATATGTTGGTTAAAAATAAATGGTAGGAAAGGTGAAAAAAGCTACAATAAAAATGTGAACTTGTGTTAAATAATGGAGGACAGAAGAATCAATCCCCTTCAACTCTCTCTTAGAATTTCCGAGTCATTTGACATATTCCAAGTCTAAATACTCCAGCGTGCTTGTTGATCATGATTATATTTTAATGAACTCGCCGAAATACTAAGTCTTTGTTGTTAGCGAGTTAACAAACTACCTGAAACTAGTCGGCAGTTCTATGCCTTCGCTCTCAGCAGTGCGAATAATATATTTTAGAACCTATTGTAGGTCAATAAATATTTGTACAATGGTACTGTTAGGCTACCTGAGAATCAGGGGCAAGTTCTAGGGGTAGTTTTTTGTCTTGATCTTCTTTGCTAGGGTCGGCGCCTGCCTTCAATAAAGCTATTGCAGTATCGCCTAATGACGGATTAACTATTTGTTAGTTCCCGGCTCTTGTTGAGGTAGCATCTAAAATATCAGGGAGAAGAGTATCTCACCATGACCTTCGGCAATAGCGTGATGCAAAGGAGTCTGTCCAAAAGAGTCCGCCACATTGATGGGACTTTTATACTTTATTAGCAAATTTACCATTGGTGTAGAACCTGTAGCAGCAGCGCGATGAATAGGATATTGGCGGCGTTTATCACTGATGGTCGGTTTTGCTGGCGATCTCTGTTCTAAGAGTTTTCGAGCAAGATCGAGATTATTCTTAGATGCTACAAAGTGAAGTGGAGTCTTCAGTAGACCGAATTAGTTGTACTCTTTGTTGAGGTATAACTGTCGTAACAATATAGCCTACCTGACCCGCGTAGTCTGATGAGTAGTTAGTTGCCCTGCTGCAATCCATCTCTAATTTGTGTAGAATACTTGCTTGTAAAATTTACATCAGCGCCTTTTTGTAAAAGGAATTCGACTAATTCTTCCCCGTCTTTAAGGCTTACAGCTATCATGAGGGGTGTCCAGCCTGACCCGTCCTAAAGATACTTCAACTAAAGATATTGGGAGGGTGATAGTAATGAATTGATTTTCCTGTTGTGCATACCTGAACATCCGGATCAAAGCTTTTAATAGAAGCTAGTACCAATACGATATCTTTATGGTTGTTTGAGAGAGCCCAATGAAGTGGCAAGCGCTTATCCTCGTCCCGCAAATCCGCCAACTTGGGATTTGCCTTCCTACATGTTCAGTACTCATATTGTACCGAAGATCATTAAAACTTACATTCAACAAAGACTCTACGGCAGCTACTGTGTTAAGTCAGTCTTGCCATGTCATAACTCGTAAAGAATCTCACTATTGCCGAGTCTAGCAGCTTCATGCAATTCATATCTAGGTGGTAAATCCATACCGCAATAACTGTAATTTAATTTTATTTGACGTACGTGTGATGAGACTGCTGGTATTACATCTGATCAGCCGGCGATGAAAACTAGAATCGATAATTGGCTTCAGACCTGTCCAATCAGCAAGTAGCTTAGCTAATTTGATACAAAGACTTTAAAAGATTATTTCGTTATACCCGACCGGGAATGATATACAAGCCTTCAAGCGGCGCTGATATTACCTTGAGCGTTCATTGCAAATCCGAGATTTTCATAAAAAATAACCCTACATTTGAAATGACTTGAATTCATGTCGTATCTGTTTAACACCCAACACCCAATGAGCGTGATATGGGTCTATGCTCCCCGGAGACACTATAGCTAAAGTACATAGTTTGCTTATCAAATCTTAACGCAGAACATAAATTAATAATTAATTTCAAAAGAATAGGTGCTCTGCGCTCTATCTCCTTCTCCACAACGCTTTGTCCAGAGAAAATTCTACTTCGACAGGACTTAATCATCCTAAGAATACGCTCAGAATTGAAACTAAATTTACCTAAAAGTATATTTACAATTAACGACTTCTCATCAATATGGGTCTTTAATTCTCACGCGAGTCCTCCATCTGATTTATGCCACTAACCATTCCACTTCATCGACCCATCAAGTAGCTGCTTGAACCCTAAGTGGGGGATGGTCTCATCAGGCATCTGGGGTGACAAATCTCAACACCTGTCAGTGATAACCCCTGCAAACCTTCAACTCTCGTTGCAGAGTCTGCAGATTCTTCAGAGCCAAGATTAAGTAACAACGTTGACACTTCGGTAATATTTCTTAACAGCTTTCGAAGTCAGCGTCGTCTTCATCTTTCCACGCATCGCTTAATCACTATTATCATGAAGCAAACCACGATCATTCGGATCGTAAGTTTGAAGCACTACTCATTACTTATTGTTGATCATGGAGGAGAACCAACCGATAAGTTTTCGGAGCGTGCCCAGCACCCGATGCAAGGATAATGGATTGAATCAAGTTAGCCTTTGAGGACATTTTTTATTCATTTAATTGTCCTGTCTAGGTCTATGACTATGTCGGACATGCAGGTCCTCTCTACCTATAGGCCAAGGATGCCTACACCAGTAGTATATCCCCTCCTATGCCTCCTATAAAGCTCCCCTCGAACAGTACCACTCCTCACAAATCCTCTTTCGATCATACACATATAAGGGTCCTTTGCCCTTCAATATCTCCCCTCTCCAACCAAGGAAACGATGGCCATTTGTGGGTGTAAGGCATCCGAGTAAAATAGCTTTTGAGGTTAGAAAGAAGGGAAATAAAATTGAATATGAATTTATGCACTTTGAATGGCACCGGTGTCTGCACCTTACCTGGCTACGACTATATGTTTTTCCAGACTTTTTCCCGCGCACGCAGGTTCCAGTGCAACTATTTATTTTGGTTTAATTGAGGTAGAAATTTCCATGGAAAGGGTGACCGAATTCCACGGGTAAATACTGGACTTAAGGGCTAATCACTTCGGATAACTTATCAATGATCTTTCAAGTATCACAAGAGGATAGGTGTAGTAAATGAGATGTAGCCCGCAGCGAAGGACTCCAACGTGATATGTAGTCTATGTGTTGAGCTACGGTCATTCTAGGTTTACTTGAATTTACTCATAACATGTCTCAGGACGGAGAAGTTAATGCTGATACATGATGTGTATCAAGGAAAATATCTTTTTGTTCGGATTTTACATAACTCATACTATGAATTGGGTTTACATTTATCTTTCCGATGATATAATAATCTTATCTGTCCTAAGCACGTTTTGGTGTGTTTCGGTGGTAGCATTATTGCCCGCGAGTTATTTAGTAGGGTTTCATACGAGGAAAACTATGTATCTTAGATACTCGATAGCCAAAGAATAGAGAAGCAACTCTTCGATGATTTGTTACCTTCTACTCCAATTTCCAAAATAGTCCCGACACTATGACTAACGAAGTTCAGTAAGTAGAAATACAATTGGGACAACAAGCAAAGTTCGAGGTTCTTTGTCTGTTTATTCTATTCAGGTCTGTAGAGATCTCAGTAACATTAGCTTTTGACGATTGAGCCCGGCGAGAAGAAATGGCGGTCGAGTATAATCCTTTCAGAGCTTTAACTTGTTGGATTATGGACAGGCTTGGCAATCTTTAAATCACTTTGTCAGATCTTGTTAAATATCATGCTAAAATATCTTGGCCAGGAATGATGCATTAATGATTTATCTATGCGGGATTTCGTGGCAGTTAATTTAATTTAATTTCGTTTTAGAATTTGTTGTTATAACAGAGCCCTGTCAGGTGATAGAGCGAGAATGTCAGGAGAGAAATCTATCGTCTGTTACCAGTAGTGTAGAACTTTTAGTTTACTGTGCGTCGTGATCAGCTAAATTGTAGACTTGATTGGATTCCGACAACACTCTGTAAATTCAAAGGCATGATCCTGTCAATGACAGAATTGGTAATTCTCGAGTCATTTCTTTATTGGCATTCTTGTAATCAAGTAAAATAACGTTTGTGCAATACGAAAAGGAATCTTGAAACTTAAGCTTTGGTCAGATGTATATAAAGTAAATCACAAGCACAGTATGTGAATCATGAGACTGATTAGTTGTTACGTTTGACACTCTACGTTTTGTTTTCTGATGGCTAGTACCCATTTATTTGGGTATAGATTTAGGAGGCAATTTGTTGTAGACCGATCTTTATTTCAGTTTTCTATATTATCAATCTATAAAGAAGTGGCTTTGGGAATATTGCTCAAAATTTGTTAAATTGCTTGACTGCCTTTCCAGTCCGGGGAAGCACACGGAGAACATTGAATCTTACCTGGGTAATATATATTAGCTTCTGTGCAAGTATAATAGTGTGAGATGATGGCAGCGTTAGCTTGCCGTTCTTGACGGACGAATACTTACAGTCTTGCTGAGAGGGCGACACTGTCCCACCGTTACTTGATCGCCTTCTTCGACACGGAAAGCCGGAGAAACATGTGCGGCGAGGTTCTTGTGTCTCTTTTCGTATCGCGCGTATTTGGGAATAAAATGGAGGTATTCTCTGCGAATAATGAGAGTACGATGCATTTTCGTTGATACGACAGTTCCGGTCAGAATTCGCCCTCGGATTGATACTAAACCTGTGAATGGGCATTTTTTGTCTGTAAGGGTGTGAGCATGTATTTTGAGGCATTATCAATTATCAATAAAAGCCATTTTAAATTTCGACCATTACAAGATGTGTGCTGAGACGAAATTTGATGATTTTTATGTTCTCTCAATTATTTATACACGTACCGATATAATTCCCCTCAATTGCTGTCTTCGGCGTTCTGAATCCTAGACCAACATCTTTGTACCATCTTCGGCCACCCTTCCCTACCTTAGTCGACTTAGTTTTAACTTTAGAATTTAGGAAAATATGAGGTTGTTTCTGGAAGGCGCGCTCAGATTGGACAGTTAATTCGGTGGCCATTGTGGTGGTGTCTTTCGTGTTGTTATTGAAGTCGGACTTAGAATAACGCTGATTTCTTATCGATCATACTTGTTCGCTTACTTTGTTGTGGGACACGTGATCGGATAAAGGCTCAATGAGGATTAAGCTTTATCCGAAAATATGTAATCACTGATAGCTTAGTGACGAAACACAACACGCATGACGCGTGTAGATAAGGCCTATTATCAGCGCGCATCGGAACGGTCACATCGACGATACATGTCCTATAATTATTTAATCACATTGGAAACATGAGTCACAATGATGATCCGACTGTGCCAGAGTTTCGCCCTAGAGCCAGAAAGTCACTGTCTAACATAACGACACATCCGAAGAAAGTCTATGAAAATATGACAGTCAATACCGCTACTACAGTAAACAAAAAAGAAACCTTTGTAACAGAAAAATGGTCAAGAAAATCACGGAGTAAAAGTATAGGACCAGGAGGGTTAGATGATTTCATGAAGACCACCGGAAGTAAACAAAGGGTATAGGCGGATTATTCCGTATAACAAAAATACAATGTCTGATAGTATCACAGCTTACGGTCAAAGCCCCCATCTTACTACCAAAACCAATACTAAAGCTCACCATGCCTACACAATTTAAAAAACAAGGATCTACATGTAAAGAAAGCCCTAAAACTTTGGATTTGCCTTTCACGCAAAAGAACGAAAATTTGATAGAATTGGCGTCTGATTCCTCCTATGCATGTCGCAGACCAGATCGGATGACGCAAAATAGTTCGTCATCAGGAATATCCAGGGCAATTGAAACTAGCGTCAGCTTAAAGACTGAAGAAGAGCAACAAGCTGCTGTACGGAATAGACAAGAGAAAGAGATTCTTGAGTCACAAAATGAGGTATTATCACGCCGAGATATAAGAAGGAAATCTCTCGCCAATCGTCGAGTATCATTCGCACCCGAGGCTACTCTTCATACGTGGGACGTTGTTGTAGAATATCAGGAATTAACAGCGTCAACGAACTCTGCAAGCTCACATAAACAGGACACCTCTACACCTTTCGAAATTTTAGAGTCATCTAGCGAAAAAAATGCTAATTATTCAACCCTGGACTTCAATGGTACAGCTCCACGGTTCAAAAAAGTCAGAAATGTATCACCACAGACCATCAAAGGACAGATTCATTCCTCCGAAAGCTCCTCTCAATCTAATATTGAAGCTTCTCCGGCTTACGAAGTATCTGCAAACAATGAACTTTCATCAAGTCCAATCAGTGAGGTATCAGCCGACGAGAACTTGGGCTACATTAATGACGGTCAAGGAACTCTTTCTGACAGTAACTCAGATGAAGATGGGACAATGATGTCCCTCGAAAGTAGAGAAAGCACGAATATGTCAATGGTAATGGATAAATCTGATGACAATATACAGTTTGATGACCTTACATATCAAAAAATTCATAAAACAATTACTAGAAACGATGAGTCTCACAAAAGCAACAATCAAACCTTTTCTATCAATGAGAAGCTTACAAGATCATACACACCAATATCAGATAAAGTCATAGACGCGCAAATAAAGTCAAGGAAATCCTTCGAAAGTATTGACAGATCGCATCCCAGGCAAGAAAATAGACTTTTCTCCACGGAACAAGAACATCGAGAAAAAATGGGGCTAGATACGGAAATTTCACTCATCGAAGGTACACCCCTAATTAATCATGCTGAAGATGACGGAACTACAATGGACGTGACTCCCGCTCTTGGAGGAATTCTCAGCAAAAGACAAGCTCAAGATGATGGGAACACGATGGAGGTAACCCGAGCACTGGGAGGAATTCTCAGCAAAAGACAAGCTCAAGATGATGGGAACACGATGGAGGTAACCCGAGCACTGGGTGGAATTCTCAGCAAAAGACAAGCTCAAGATGATGGGAACACGATGGAGGTAACCCGAGCACTGGGTGGAATTCTCAGCAAAAGACAAGCTCAAGATGATGGGAACACGATGGAGGTAACCCGAGCACTGGGTGGAATTCTCAGCAAAAGACAAGCTCAAGATGATGGGAACACGATGGAGGTAACCCGAGCACTGGGTGGAATTCTCAGCAAAAGACAAGCTCAAGATAATGGGAACACGATGGAGGTAACCCGAGCACTGGGTGGAATTCTCAGCAAAAGACAAGCTCAAGATGATGGGAACACGATGGAAGTAACCCGAGCACTAGGTGGAATTCTCAGCAAAAGACAAGCTCAAGATGATGGGAACACGATGGAAGTAACCCGAGCACTAGGTGGAATTCTCAGCAAAAGACAAGCTCAAGATGATGGGAACACGATGGAAGTAACCCGAGCACTAGGTGGAATTCTCAGCAAAAGACAAGCTCAAGATGATGGGAACACGATGGAAGTAACCCGAGCACTAGGTGGAATTCTCAGCAAAAGACAAGCTCAAGATGATGGGAACACGATGGAGGTAACCCAAGCACTAGGTGGAATTCTCAGCAAAAGACAAGCTCAAGATGATGGGAACACGATGGAAGTAACCCGAGCACTAGGTGGAATTCTCAGCAAAAGACAAGCTCAAGATGATGGGAACACGATGGAAGTAACCCGAGCACTAGGTGGAATTCTCAGCAAAAGACAAGCTCAAGATGATGGGAACACGATGGAAGTAACCCAAGCACTAGGTGGAATTCTCAGCAAAAGACAAGCTCAAGATGATGGGAACACGATGGAAGTAACCCGAGCACTAGGTGGAATTCTCAGCAAAAGACAAGCTCAAGATGATGGGAACACGATGGAGGTAACCCGAGCACTAGGTGGAATTCTCAGCAAAAGACAAGCTCAAGATGATGGGAACACGATGGAGGTAACCCGAGCACTGGGTGGAATTCTCGGCAAAAGTCCATCAGGCCCAGTCTCACGAAATATTTTTGGGAACCGTCAACATCAGGTTTTAAATAGGAGTGTCATTTGTGGGGACGAGGAAGGGGTTCTTGCTAAAACGAAAGGACTTGAAAACACAGAACTTGCAAGACCCCTCGATAAAATCAAATTATTTCATGAAAAAATTGAAGAAAACATGACGAATAATGAAGCTATGTCCATGAAATGTTTTTCCCCGCTATCCCCCCCTATAATAGGAAACACAAAAATGCTCACAAATGGATCATCAAAGAAAGTGGAAAAAGCTTCGAATTTTCTAGCTAATAAACAAACTATGGAGAATGGGGTGTCGATGGGAGTAATTAGAACCTCAACCCTAGAACCGTCTGAAGCTATAGAAAAAGATACCTCAATAACTCATGGTAGTATTACATCAAATCATCAGCGAATAGTCGACTCAGAAACTCCACAAAATTTTTTTTACCAAAACACTAATCGTGAAATATATATATCCCCTATTAATTTACTATCGTCCCCCTCACCCAGGCCTTCTAGGACAGTACGCAAGTCAGCGACTGGATTGGGAAGCCCAAGTTTATTAGGGCTTCAAAGGAAAGAACTTCGACGAAGTAATGATGGAAAAAGTTTCATTACCCTTGCATCCCCTAAAACTATTGATGGAAGAAGAGAAACCATTATCATTGAAAACCCAACTACACAACTCGGAGGGACCCTTCATATCGAAGAGAGTACCGCATGTGAAAGCTCGAATACTTGTAAAAGTACACCAGAACGATCCTCTAATTTAGAATTAAAGGTAATAACACCTGTATTAGTGATGGGAAAAAATCAAACGGTTTCAACACAAAATTTTCAAAGCAACGAGCAACAATTAAGTGCTGTACCGAAATCATTACTGACACCTCAACGACGGAAAACTACGGGTATTGGGCTTGACAAGGTTGGTTTAGGCTCACCATTAGTTGCCGACCTGCTTGATAGACGAGGCTCTATAGGTGGTCTAGCTAGTAAATTTGTGCCGGGTGGGTACGATCAAATTATATTAAGCCCTGAGACTAAATATTCTACCTCTGTGGAACGAGAATCCAGAGAAAGTAGTATACAAAAAACAAAAGATCAAGGATCGCGTGTGGCTATTCAAGAGAAGACCTCGACCAATAACCTGAAAGAGATGATTCAAAGCTTAACACCTAACAGAAGGCTCATACGAGGTCGCAAAAGCCTTCATGTTGGTGGAGCAAAAGGAATTTTAGGGAAACGCCCTATCGAACTGGATGAAGATGATAATGATGACGAAATGGAAGACTTCAAACGATACAAAACCATAAGTCCATTTAAGAGCGTCAGTATACAATCACGCTCAGAGACAAAAAAGGACTTTGGAAAAATCGCATTATCACCTCAGGTACTTTCGAATAATGCCACTTCCACAAGCCAAGAAGCATCAATATCTCTTGCAGAAAGTTTAAGGCCCAACGAAAAAATTAGTGAACCTTCAGGTAATGTGGTATATCAGAATTCTAGTGGTAATCAAAAATCTGATCAGCTTGGAGATAATCTTTCAAGTAATGAAAAAAAAGAGGAATATAACCAGATTCAGCTTCAAGACTTTCTAGATATGACCAGAATACGTTTCATGGAATTGACAACCACAAAGAGAAGACACACAACTGCACCAAAGTCTGCGTCTATGAAACAAGAGAATGAAAAGCAGGATTCTCTAGAGGATTGCATTGTTGCAGGGGCCACACAAATCCCCATGATTGAACTATTTCAACATGTAATATGTTCTAAAATTCAAATTAAAAAAATTAAGCTAAAATTGAAGTAGGCTTGTCATGAATTGAAACGATATATATCTGACGGACGCAAGACAGTCCGAGAAATCGAAAAAGAAACCTGGGAAGAAAATCCACCCCTCTTTCAGGAATACCTATTAGCTACTCCAGATTTAAAATTGCTGATGGATAATCAATTAAAAAATGTTAGGACACACGCTCGACTTTTGGCTAAAGGTCTATGGTATGAATGGCGGATGACCTTACTCAACACCTTGGAGGGTGGCTTGGTCAAAACTATACAGGATATGAAGATTGATGAAAATACACTAGATCGTCAGCAATTGCTTCTCGCTCCTGTTATGCCTAACTTGACGCAAACTGTCAGAGATTTGGAGCATGAGGAGTCTCAAATCAATGCAGCCTCTCAAGAACTTGCTAATTGTGACCAGGATAAGCTTAATGAGGCTCGTCATAGATTAGTCACTATCGACACTGAAAATAAAACCAAAATACTTTTAATTTCACAGCTACAAAATGAATTACGAGCCAAAGAGAAAGAGATTGAATTGAGTATAGCTCGCAAGAAAGCATGGAAGGAAGAAATCAACGAGCACGAAAAAATAAAAGAGGAATTTAGGGGATGGACCTGTACCGAGGTAAATTCAATGAAGAGTATGTACATTGAATTTAATCTTTAGCGTGACTTAACATTTTATAGGTAGAGTTTGTAGGATGGAAGAAGAATACGGTTGGACAATTACTCATATCTCAGGTACTCTAATATCCATGATTTTTCGAAGAGAATTGGAATTAACATTCGATGCCTCTTCATTCCGATGTCGAACTGCACATGCTACTAAAGAGCCATTCAACTTACGTATCGGCCTAAAGTACGTTGGGCTGAATCAGGAGACTAACTGCTCATCTTTGACTGCAGCAAAAGATTTCTTTCTTCAATTTATCGGGAGTGAAGTTTCCAGATTACAATATCGTCTAACAAACATTAAGGATCTTCTAGAAAGTGTGAGCAATTCTTGGAATAAAGCAAATGAAGTCATAAATGAAGTCTACCTTCTGACACTCAGCTGCCCGACCAAGGTGGTAAAAATTTCCAACAACTCAATAGAAATCAATTCTACGCTGATTTTAAAACCATTAGCCACTAAAATTGCCATTAAACTTCATCTCACCGCACAGAGTACGGACAAGGGAATTGAAATGGAAATTATGCCAGATGCAAATGTTATCTATGGAGAGCGGTTCAATGAACCCAAGATGAAAGAGTTCCTCTTGAAGAGATGCCGTTACGGTCTTAAAGAGAGAGATCCATGTAATATGTCATCATGGGGCATTGTTGTTGGCGAGCTTGGAGATAGACTCCTTGCAAGAAGTCGTCGGTGATCTTCTCTGACCGTGAATAATCTTCGCTTCAAGTCCCATGAAACCCAGACTTACTCTTTCAAGAACAAAGGTAAGTTTCATAGTAATAAGATGAAACTTGAAAGTAGCTTGTATTGATAGTACCCTAGATTCTCGGAGTTTTCACGAAGATCAGACCCAGCAGTAAGGCCAAAGAGAGTAGATATACATCCTTGAACTATCGCGCCTTATAAACTGTATGTGGTATTGGAGCAAAACTACAAGCCGAAAAGTGTCAACTGTCGACAAGATCGCTCTTCGGCTCTCTCTTATTTCTGCCACTTATCACTCATACGCAATACATTCGAACTGTCTTTATTAACCGGTATCTATACCATTCTAAGAGAACTGCGCTGTATGTTAAACAATCGCAATATACTAAAACACTACCTTAATGTCTCAATCTGAAAGTACACCTAATTACCTTCATGGTAATGAGACAGCTGTATATCTGACATAAAGATATCAGCATAGGAGTGTCATTCTATAACTGGAAGTAATAATAAATTTTAATGAAGCACTCGAGTATCGATTTCAGCTAAATTACTCCTGAAATGAGCCCCTAGATTTTCGGAGAGGTATAACAAGAGATAATATTGGAGCCTCTTCCTAAATACAATTAACTGAAAATAAACTTCATGAAAATAAAGTACTAAAGCGGCAGTAGGACAGTTTTCATGCTTTAATCAATCAGAGTATGAATTACTTCACGATACTTGACATCGTCTACTCACGCCAAGAGTAAAGAAGGGTAATATAACGAAAATTCTCTCGTCCACTTTCCTGCCTTGTTTCGATGATATCTCCTCATGAAATTTCTACATCGGTTACTCGAAAACGATGCTCTTGGTAAAATAACCATGTAAACATTACCATATAATCACATGCTAATGAAACCCTAAGTTTGAGCTAAGAGCATCCTGAGTATTATCTTTGTTATTTTTATGCACAAACTGGGACACTTCAGTATTCGAATGCAATGTCGAGGCTTCACAACGCAGGAAAACATACGTTGGCCATACAAGATGGCGTTCCACCAGTGTAGATCATCAGTACTTGAAGCTTCGCTGCAGAGGTGCTTTTTGACAGGCTTTGTGCCTGAAATCAGTGGTAGAACGTAGATACGGGACTTACTACATTAGAGAAGCCAGTAGTTGGTCTGGAAAAATATCAGCCAAATAGTTGGGGCAACTCAGAACTAGATATGTGGATCGGATTTTTTTTGAAGTAAGAAATAGATGAGCAAAACTTAGACAATTGCAAAGTCGGAAGAGTGCTAGCTCACAACAATATTATTAGATGGGTGTACCTGCAGTCTACATTTTCTTCCAATGTCTTCAAGTAATTTTGGTATTATTCTTATTATTGATAGACATGATTCTACCCCACAAGGATTCCTTTCTCTTATAGGGATGTCTGATTTATTTGGTTTATTTGACAAATTTTCGGACAACTGCTTAGTCTACAAATGCTAATATACTCATTTTAAAAGCAATGGAATCAATGGCTGTTATTATTTCACAATGAATTAACAGTATAGCTGTGGGCATGAAGAATCTAATTCGTCATCCAAACAGCGGTCGTGTGACAAGTGAGCGAAGAGCTGCTGTCTTGCACTAGCTCTTTCTCCACTCAACTGGCAAAATGGCTTGGCTTCCCGTCTAGTGGAGCAAAATGATGAATTTGTAATAGTTAAGCCCTAGTCATGCATTTCGTGAATCGGTATATCCCTGACAAATCCAAGAGCCTTTGTGAGATTCGTTATTTTAGATCCGTGGTATTTCTGATTTCCGTCAGTATTCTAGAACTATTTTTGCGTTTGACTTGTAATCTCTGAGATACCTTGGAAATGTATTGATTTTAAAGAATACTTCCATCGTCTCTAGTCACGACCTAGCTTCAACCTTCCCCTAGATAAGATGACCTGCGTACATGTGGTGCGTACGCGTCAGCAAATAGTCTCTGCCTGTTTCCAGATACTTTCCTCATGGCCAAACTTCTTCTTACATCTCTACATTACAACTGGCTTACTACCAAATCCTCTTCTCGTGATTTCTATCTAGTACTTTTATAAATTATATTTTTCCCCCTATATATCACTGTTTTGAGATCTCTAAAAAGCTAATAAAATCAAGATAGTAATAACTGTACACATGATAAATTTTCCGATGAAGGTCACACTTTTGAAGTCCATAATGTATGGAGAACCTTGGAAGTAAATCAAAGTCGATAGATTTCGTGAGCACAATCGTAAAATTCCTTTAAATGGAAAAAATTAAACACTGTGTGACATATTCCCGGTAGAGCTGAATTAGAACCTGCTACACGGCTTTTAGGTTCGCTTATCTTGACATTTCTGTGCACAACAACTGAATTTTATCGTCCGGCTATAATTACGTGGCGATTAAAATGAAAAAGACAAGTCGAACAGACAGGTATCTTAGTCCTTACAAGGCCTGAAATATTTGCGATCTTGGGACGACAAGTTGAGCTGGTGGCTGTAAAGTTTAAAATCTTTGATCTAATTTTCCGACAACATGGTACTTGTTTTTGAGTCGTATATATAATTCGTTCTATTATCTCAAGAAACCTTGGCTCCTAACCTTCTATCACTTTTGCAAATAATTTCAGAATTGAACATTTTTTCTGACCAGTAGCTATTGAGAATGCTCTTTGTCTTCTGCAAGCAAGTCGCCTACATGACCGACTTCTTTTACTGCGAGGTGATCTGTTTCGGTACCAGCTTTCTTCGTGCGTATTGCCTCTTTGACAGATTTTTTCCAGTCCTCACACATCCCAGGATAGTTCAAATCTTCCTTTACATACTCTTCGTCTGACACAATCTGAATAATTCTGATGTTATGCTTGCCTTTACGTAGCATTATCATGTCGCCACAGACAAGATATTTTTTTAGGTGTGAAGATTCGGAATCCTTCGCTTTTGACCAGGTTACATGGCCGTGATCAGCACTTATAGAGCGGTCCGGCATTGTACCGATATACACACCGCTAGATTGGAGTAGTCGGCGTCCCTCGGAAAGAGTAGAGCTAAAGCCAACGGCATGCACGATACGGCCAAACATTTTTTGGTACATTAGACTTTCAGGTAGTTTGATATTGACTTTGGGCCTGTTGTTCATTGTTACGATTCCAGATGCGCTACAATCTCTTTTCACTAAGTTCGAGTGTTTTTCACTAGAAGGTTTCCCAAAGAGCAGATTATGCTCCTTTCGAGCTTCTCTAGCGTTTTGAAGTCCATGAGCCAGTTCAACAACCTCTTGAGCTAGCTTATGTTGAGCTTTTCTTTCTTGCGGGGATTCGAAGTGGCTTTTGACAAGAGATTCTATCTGTGGTAAGGGTAAAAATGTAAACATTTTTAAGTACTTCTCGACATCAGAATCTGCTGTTCGTAAGAAATATCCGTAAAGTTCGAAAGAGCTTGTCTGATCACTATCAAGCCATACTGCATTTCCAGCACTTTTACCGAATTTTTCACCAGAATTGGTTGTGAGCAGGGGGACTGTAAAGCCGACAGGCTCTCCTACTTGGCTGGCTACCGAGCGAAAATCCGGATCAGGGTGGGTTGTCAGCACATACTTTATTGCATCAATTCCAGCCGCAATATTCCCGAACTGGTCTGAACCACCAATTTGTAATTGAATTCCTTTGGAATGAAACATATACCACCAGTCCCACGCTTGCATGACTGCATAAGAAAATTCAGAGAAAGACATTCCGTCGCCAATTTTCATTTTTTGCTTGACGCTACAGATATTAGCTTATTTATGTTATGCGATACATAGGGATGACAAACGTGTCTCGAGCTAGCAGAGAGCCCATCCGTATACCTGGCCCCATTGTTTGCAACACTTCAAGAAGTGTTACTTTGTTCCACCAAGTGCTATTATTGACAAGCTCTCGATGATTTGCCCAGGTAAAATCGTATCCGTATTTTCTGCCACAGGCTTCAAGGTTCAACCAAATTTTTTTAAGCTGAAAGTGCATGCTAGCCATATTCGCTGTCCTAATAGATGGTTGTTCTCTTTTTCGTGTTGTCAGGCGGTCGGTGGGATCACCGATCTTGGCTGTAGCACCGCCTAAAAGTGATACTGTATGATAGCCATGCAGATACATCCAGAATAACGCCATAAGAGGCACAAGATTGCCGATATGAAGAGACGAGGCAGTTGGATCAATACCTACGTATGCACCGACTCGTCTGCTAGTGAGTAGGTCGTCAAAACTTTTCCGATCTCTTTATTACATTAGCATATAATTTTTATTATCGAATTGACTAAACTTCCTCACCCAGTAAATTGATTTATTAATCCACGCTCCTCGAGAATGGTCATCATACTCTTTTCCTTTCCAGCTGTGATCCGCAACGCCTTCTCCTGCCATTGATCCTCGGCATCCGCAATTTTGGCAAGATACTTCATGCCAATCCATCTTTTGGTGGTGCCCCTCAAAACTTTGTCTCGATATAACTGGCATTTTAGGCAAGGTCGAAGCTTTAGAAAAATAGGCCTCTGAAGGGCTTGAAACGGCATCAAGGCAATTACTTGCGATGAGATGCGAGATTATGGCAAAATTATGATGGATTAGAAGTTACTAAAAATTTTTTTGAGCCTAATGGCATATAATTTGAAACGTAGAATTATTAAAATATTTAGTTTACATATGATTTTGCCTGGTCAAAATTCGGCAGCTCACCTATACGCTCGTCTAATTGGAGCCGAAAATAGTGCGCACAAAAGGCACATCCCTCTTGTAGGGATCAACCATGCACAATCGTCCCATTTACAGGACTTCTACTCATCACCTCCTTGTACACTGCCATTTTCAGGCCAGAGTACAATTTCTAATTACTTCATTGACAGTTAGCCTGCGACTTATCATTGACCGTCCAACATTTGGATTAGAATCAATTTAGTCTGATTCGGAGCTATGTTGGCCTATGTAGGTAGCTATGAATCATATTTGCAAGTGAGGGAAATTTTTCAATGAAAACATTCTTCCCCTACCTAATTTATTCTCCTCAGTTCTTCACCTGACGTAAAGGAAGTACGATATGCATTCATTTCGTAACGAAACCAACAAATGAGAGCCCTTATATGCTTCACTACCGTCCGGTGCCTAAGAGGGAGCCTGAACGCGATGGTGCTAGAATTAGTAGTGGAAATTGGGTCGTCAGCCAGTTGCGCAGATGTTCCGGTCCCCTCCTGAAACTCCTAACTTTCTGATGAAATATCGATGAGAATCTATGGTAGTTTTATCTCTATGCCGTTGATGATTATTTGGCCGCCGATGAAATCACATCCAATCCTGAGCCAACTGTCCGTTGTGTAGGTCCTTACCTCGCTCTCAAGACACTAGTTATGTGTGCTGCAAATTTCTGCCAGCCCCCTCGTTTCAATACATGCGGGCCGTACCGCAGCCGCACCACAGCGCCGGTTTATGAGCAGTCACTTGAGGATTCGGTGTAGGTTTATTTTTATTTTTTGTACTACTTGAGTCTGAGTTTCTAGCACATAGGGCTCTTCTCTGGCCTAGGCCACACCTTTAACAGCGCTCCTTGCCTCTTTTGTTACTTGTAAGATCATTGATATATCGCCCGTGATGAATAGCTATTCAGCTCAATGTTGACCCGTGGAATTCGGCCACCATTTCCACGGAACCTTCTGCCCAAAAAAAAATGGTAGCAATGAAAACTGCGTACGCGGAAAAAAGTCTCAAAAAATATGCAGCCCCAGCCAGGCTAGGCCTAGACACCGAGACCACATAAGGTGCTGTAGGAATACTTTCGCATATAGTTCCCTAATCTGCATGGAGTAAACTTAACCCTGAAACTGATCAGGAAGGAGCTTTGGATTAGTCATGAATTAGTCAAAGAAGGAAAGGTTGTCAGAGCTGAGATGGAAAATTATTCTGGCGATGAGTTCCATTGGAGAGGAGTCAGTGGATGGAGGTTGTTGCGATATATATACTTAATATAATATATTTGTTAATTCGCCCCAAAGAAAATCTACAGTAGCCGTCGCTTTAAGATTGTGGAACAACGGGTGCGCATCTTCATCTATATCTCCCTTCTTTGTAACTGTCGAGGCCGACTTGATTCAATTCGCCATCTCCGTATCAGGTGCTGGATACGCACCAGAAACTCATCGGATGGCTTCTCTTCCATGATGAAGGGTTAATAATGGCTCATTTTTGGTCGAAAATCCGACTTGCAGAGATTTCACGACTGCGTAACTCAACGAATTCATCCATTTACACTTGGATGTAAACCGTAGACAATAAAAACTGTCTGAAGTTCGTAGTAAAATAACTGCCACCCTTCACTATCTCGAATTTATCTGGAAAATCTGTCTCAGCAAATCTCTTCTTGCCACCCTCTCCAAAAACATATCATCTACCGAGGCAATTCCAAATCTCAAAGTCATACTCGCTATCTGAGTTACAAAATGACTTTGATCCCTTCATAAATGTTGCGAGCTGTGAAGATTCGGTCGAAGCACCGACCTTCTATTTGTCTAGACCTCAACGAACTACTTGACCAGCGACGAATCGCCGCCGACGAAATATTCACGACATCTCGCCTACACATTAACACGAGCATCCTACAAAGAATATGACATCGTTGCATCGGTCTTGAGCTCTTCAAACCATATTTAGCCTCCGCGGTTACGACAACGACGGGTCAAAGCTGGGTGGGTGGAACGTCATCGTAATTTGATTGCGTTGAAAACCGAGAAATTAATAAGAAAGTACAATTGAGGAATGAAGGGAAAACTGAAGAGTCCTCAGTGGTTCATTAGATGAGATCTCTAAATAAGAAAAAGATCTCTAGATGAGATGAGGAGGAAATTGCGCTTCGGCGTGTAAAAGTCGGGTTCTCCGGACGGTTGGATTTGACATGTTCAATACATGTGGAAGTCTAAGATGGTCCGGACATTCAGGCGGGACGAGGTATATCTATACTTCAATTTAGTTAACCTGATTCAGCCCGGTCCCGTTCTTGCCAAAGCTCTCATAGGAGCGTGAAGGTTAAAATGTATTTATGTATAGATTTCGTTTCAGGCAAAAGCCCTACACCCAACAGGAATGATAGGGGTGTGTGATCCCTAAAGACTCACTACACCTATCTGTCCAGCTTTCTAGGCCGATTAATTACATGAAAAGAAGAAATAAAGAAAACTGCCTAGACAAAAACACCCTGCGCCTTGCCCACTTTCATATTCAACTGCTAAAGATATTTCAGTCCCTCGGAAAGCTTTAGCCCTCTTAATGTGAAAATTGCCCTGCGTAGCATCTCGTTACGGTTATGTACTTAAAGAATTCCTCCCATCCGTTTTCTGCCAACATAACTCGACTTCTTGGTGTTGGTTCATGTCTGGATATTCTCCATTGTCGCAAAGCCGTTCGGCAATCTGCAAAGTGCCAAGGACATCATTCCCTTCTACAGACGCATCTATAGTCTATATTTTCATGCCCGAATCTGTCGTTGTAACCCTTGAAATCTCCGTGTCCTGTCCTCGCTGCTATCAGACGATAGTATGCCCATCTCGTCAGTCCAAGCTCGTGTGGTCGTCTTCGTCTCATCAGAAGGTCTAATTCTTCGTACCGTCTTGGTCTATTTTGAAGATACCAGGATTCCATAGCTTCCTCGGCCTGCTCTCGGACGAGCCGGTTCAGTGCAAATAAGGTGTATATCTACTCACTCTTTAAGTCTAAGAGGTCTCTCAGGGCTGCCTTGGCCAATATGTCTGTTAAGGGCGAAGAGGATTACGGACACCGCACGTAAACAGTACCACAAAGAATTAATATTTTTCTACAGAGATTAACTACAGGAAATCTATTACATAAATATGCCCTCTGCAGCTACCAGAGATCTTAATTTCTGACACGTAATCCTTCGCTACTGAGTGATCTGTTTTCCAGCCTCAGCATATTTATTTATTTATCTTTATTTAACGTCTGGCGGATCACGCGTCAAGCGAGTAACCCAATTAAGTCCCTACTGAGACAAAAGACGCCTCAGCCTCAGCATAGTTAACTGAGTGATTCGAGTCATGAGAAACGACCCCATGTTGAATCACGTGACTAAAGTCCTTGAACGAGGCTGGGCCTGAAAGATAGCCCAGCCTAATCGATCGGGGCACAGCCCGTAACAATGTCTGTCTACTCGTTCCCGGTGATCCCAGAATTACCCGGTATCCAACGGACTTCGACTGATAGAAACTGGCCTATCTGAGTCGTAAATTTGTCAACCACAGACTGAGACGGTCTTGTTCGGCCGCTTCGTAGAGCTCGCACGGCATTAGGGTTGTCTAGAAGTACCTTTACTGGGCCTCCTTTTGCCTTCTTTGTGGCTTCTTCCATGGCTTTCTGGGCTCCCAGCTGTTCTGCGTCGTAAACCTCTACTCCGGGCATGGAATCTGATCCTGACCCTATCATTTGGCCTGAACTGTATAAGGTGTATCCCCAAGCAGATTTGGCGGGGCCGCATGAAGATCCGTCCGAATAAGCACAGACTGTCTCCGCTGATAGACTGGCTATCCATTGCTTGGCATGATCAGCTTCAGCTTTATTATTATTATTATTATTATTATTATTATTATTATTATTATTATTATTATTATTATTATTATTATTATTATTATTATTATTATTATTATTATTATTATTATTATTATTATTATTATTATTATTATTATTATTATTATTATTATTATTATTATTATTATTATTATTATTATTATTATTATTATTATTATTATTATTATTATTATTATTATTATTATTATTATTATTATTATTATTATTATTATTATTATTATTATTATTATTATTATTATTATTATTATTATTATTATTATTATTATTATTATTATTATTTGAATTTGATTTCATTGTCCTGATTTGGCGCCCTATGGGCCCATGCAGGTGACTATAAACCTAAAACTATATATTTACATGAGGGGGAAACCATAACGATAAAAACCCCCTCCCCCTTTAAAATTTTTGTAGCTGTAGTCCTTCGTTACCTACAGGAAGTGCAATTGGCCATCAGTCCGAGACAGGACTAGCTAAAATTATACTCGACCTCGCCATCCTTTCCCTGCCCTCGCGTGCTAAAAAGAGTTGACTTTGGTCTTGAGTTTGACCCCGATGGTCCAAATAATTGTGGTGGTTGGTTGACCAGGAGCTGTTTGCGCGGGCGTCCTGGCCCTCTCTTTAATACCTCCGGCTTTTGGTGGGACACCAGTGTGAACCCTTGGTCGTCTGTTGGTTTTGCCGTAGTTGTTGTAGTAGGTGCCGTTGTTGATGTTTCTCCTTTTCTGAATTCCGCCGTTCTCTCCATAAGTTCATACCGTGCCCGTTGCACGCTGGCCTTGTATGCCGCGAAGTTTTGACACGCCCCCTTCTGCCACGATTTATGGTCCTTGCCGCAGTTGCAGCAAAGAACCGACTTCCTCGGACAGTCCCTGGTCTGATGAGTGCCCGCGCACTCACCACATCTCCTTACCCTATTGCACGAGGCTTGGGT